TTTATATAATAAACCAATTATAAAATTGAGAATTATCGGTACACCGAGTTAAATGTGATAGGTGATGGGTGGGTGGATGATAAATAAATAGTAGCTATAACAATAATTACGCGGTGTGTGTAACAAATGACAAACCTATACTCATTAGTATACCCGGCTCGTTAAAACGTTGTATTTATATACATTATTATAAGTATACTTCACGTTACGCGTATTTTACTGATTCGCGACCGATGTAATTGATTTATTTAAATACGATGACGACAACTAATACGGTTATCCGGCGCTGTTTTAGTAATAGTCGCGTTATCGACTTATCGTTAAACATATATATTATATTAAATAGCAGTAACATAGGCATATATATATATATATATACTTATTACTTATACAATATATACTCGTGGCGGCATGCACGGCGTAAGTACGATTGTGTATAATCGACTCACCGGCGGTACGGTTACTTGTGATGTAACGCCTAACAGAAGGTCGAAACTATTGCAGTCAGTCATGTTTGTATGTGAGTGGTGATGGGGGGTTTGGAGGAGTCGGGCACACTCGTGACGGACAACAGACTGACGATAATATTTTAATGTTATAGCTTCAATAAATAATATCTAATCCCGTCAAACTCGTCAAAGTCACCCAAAATGGTTTAACGAATTTCGTGAAAATCGTTGAGTGTCGGGCTCGCGCGTTGAGGGTTAATATACGTGAACAGCATATTATTATGTATGTCATGAAAAAGGATTGGACGAGGAAAATACGAGTCTGACTGCTCGGAGACTGCAGCAGATGCAGATCACACCGAGTATACTACATGTCGCGCGTACCCGATATTATATTATTATTACTATAAAGTATATAGTGTATATAATATATATATATTTATATATGTGTATTATTATTATATACGCGCTGCGGAAAAATGAATATTATTAAAGCCTGGTGTCCGTCACAGCTGTGCGGCGGCCTCGACGGCGACGTACACACCCCAATTTCGGAAAAATAAAAAGGGTTGCACGCATAATATATTACACGTACACGCGTCCATCGCTTTAAAATACAATAATATGTATCGTGAAAGACCCTTAGGTACAGGCAGGTAATTCAACGTACGTACGCGTGCCCGACGGGGGTAGGTACCTACATCATAAATGTAGGTAATACCGTATATACATATTGGTGTATGCGCTGCTGGCGGCGGCGTGCATAAGGTCGGCGGCGGTTTATTACTATTATTATATTTAGGCATATATTTTATTGTATTGTGTATTATATATTATTAATATTTATTATTATGATGATATTATCATCGCCTTCAGACACGGGTCGTCCGTATGGTCGGACCACTCGTCGATCTGCTGACGGACGCAATCCCCGTCACGTGGCCGCGTCACGCCGTCCGTCCGTGATCGCGGCCTCGGACGATTATTTCAATAATAATATTTAATGACAGCAGTCTGCTGTAGAAAAAAGTGTCGTCGCGTAGACCACTCGATGAGAAACAAACGGAAAAAAAAATTATAATTACCACAATATAACAATATAATTTTTATGATATGTGTGTACTTTATGTAGGTATGCGTATACGTCTGACGAGACAGCCGAATACTTAAGTACGATAATAATTTGCTAAAATCGGCAGTGATAGGACGGTAATATTTAAAATATTTCTTCTGAACATTGTGAGCCGCACTTGAATGTGTACTCGATTCCACTCGCCCTACATTATATTATTATAATAATATGGCWTTGCGCGGACAGCAGGGTCGCCCGCATGCAAAACAGGAGCTATTCTTCTATACACGAAGGTYCTGCGATAAAAAAAAAAGGCAAATTTACGGCTCTCCCCCCTCTTCCTTCCCCGATGGAGACCATCTACTGCCGCACAGATGACGGCTAACACAGATTGTCCATAAAGCTCGTTTATTTTTTTTTATTTTTTAAACCTTAAAAAGCTTAAGAGGGTCGACGACGACAACGACGAAGACGACGACGACGAGATAACCCACGTACGGTCCTCCGTCATTGTTATTCCGCTGCTCGCACCCGCGGATCCTCTGCTGCTTTTGTGTGCAGTTCCCGCGCGCCGCCGACGTTATCTTCTTATAATATACGCACTGTCATATATACGTACACGTAGTATATATTCTAAATATACGCGTCGCGGTTAAAGACGTGTGGCGGGGTACGTAGCGGACGAGGAGGTTGCGGCGGCGGCGAGGTCCACTTGTGGCCGGCGATGATGAATGCGCTCATAGATATTATCATTGATTATAAATACTATAGATTGCTCACTGGCCGGTTTTTCGGTGGCATACAATATTAATCCCGGTAGATGGCGATAAGAACAAACAACATTTATAAATTCGTATTTTATTGCAGCTACGGGTATTATGGCTAAGTGCGGTGCGGTGTAAACCAGTTTTTAGAACAATATTATTGATTATTAACGACGGTCGCAGTCGCAGGCCACAGCCAAATATAATAATAATATTATTCACTGCCAAGTGCCATCGCGACGCTTGAAGAAATTACAATATTATTATTATTATTATTAAATACCTAATAATATTATAATATNACACACACACACACACACACACACGCACGCACGCACGACGCGATGAGCCTCTGCACTTCCCCCGCACTTGTGTATGACCCGCGCGGCGCCGGAAGAGGAAGAAACTCTCAGCGTACACACACACACACACATATTTATAATAGTATATAATATATTATAATAATATCTTGTGCATGTGTGTATGTGTATAATATATACATGACATTGCGGGTGATGGCCGGTGGGATGAGAAAAGAAAACCTAACCGTAATAATGTGTACATGTGTGAGTGTGTGAGCGCGAGATGGTTAGAATTTGCATTTGAAAAAAGGAAGAAAAAAAATGAAATATTCCTCTACTCCCCCCCCCCTCACACACACACACAACTCTTACTCATCCAGAAGCCTATAATCGCGCGGTATATTATGTATAGACGACACTGTTATCGTGCATCACGGAGAAACGTGCCCGGTTCGACTTTTCGTGTTATTTAGTGAAACCGTGTTCTCTCCAGTGCCCTCATCTCCGCCACGGCATCGATCTTGGTTTTCGGTAGGGGGAAGACCGCGGAAAAAACAAAATATTAGTATAAAAGAAAACGAAAAAAGCATATAGGTATAATTATTTAGACGTTATAATAATAATAACTTGTTATTGTCCGAATTCGTCGTCTTAACCGTTCGTGAATGTGTGTGTGTGTGTGTGTTTGCCATATTGTGTACGTAATAGTTTATGTAATATATATTATAATATTAGATAGATCATGTTTGCAAATGCCGATCTATCTTGTAATGATAATTAATAATCATTTCGTCGTCGATCTCGACTCCGGAGAAACGCGCTCGTGTAAGTAGGTATCTATACGACATATGTATGTGCAATAGTTCGCATCTGGTATGAGATTCGGTATTATTTTATTTAACCGATTTCGGTTGGTATTATATTATATTATTTGATATTTCGCGTCTTTCTTTTTTCGTTTTCTCGGTTACGCATTCGAGTCACGCACGGTCCAGCCGTGCCGCCGGCGTAGCGTACAAGGCATCGCCCGTCGCATTTCCATAGTCGTTTTTACAGTTTTTTTTTTTTTCAATAATATCCTCTCTCGGGGTCCGGTCGTAACCGCGCATCATCGCGCCATCCGGCTCACGCGTTTATATGCTACGCGTTCATTATTGCGCTCGCCGCCGCACTGCCATTACCGCAGCGCAGCAGCCGCCACCGCTAAARCGTTATATTTTTATTTTTCACACCGGCGCATCTTGTCCGACGGGAGGGAAAAAAATAAACTTTACAACCCGATATATACGGATTAGAGGGAAATGCGGTGGCGGTGGTCGCGTTACATATTATCCCTCGGGTCATTTTTTAAAAAAACACCACTTTATATACATAATACACGCGTATAATGATATATACGATGGGGTGTGAATGTCCGTCCACTCTCTTCTCTCTCAATTCATTTTTTGTTTAATATTTTTTAATGAAATTTTTACCGCCCCCTACTATTACTACTTCTACTGCTACCACCAMCACTACAACTACTGTTTGTATATTGAGTTCGCAACGAGTATTTATACTATTATATACTGATTGCATATGCGTACGAAATACAATATAGATTTCTAAATAACAAAAACTCGACCGATCTTGTGCAATAACGCGCAGTTGTCGTCGCCGTTGTTGTTCTCCCGCAAATTTTCGGTCAGCTGCTCGCACGCACATAATAATATTATATATTATATTATGTAGTAGTATGACCCTTTTTGGTCGTATAGCCACACGCATCGGCGGCGGCGGCGTCGTCATCACTGCCGGAAAACGGCCGTTACTTGCCACTGCCACCGCAGTTCAGCAGTCGCTTGGAGTCCATTCGGGTTCTCGCGCAATCTATTCTCAAGTCAATCATATTTTTTTCTTTCGTTTTCGCTGCCGAGTTTGAGGAATAATAATAATAAAGATTACGCCTCGCGCTTGTAAACTATAAAATATTAAATGAATAAGGGTATACGTATATATATATATATACCTACCTCCTGTACGTGTATTATACAATAACCGCGATAGAAACACAACCGACGTCCAGCTCTATTACGAAAACATAAAAACACCGTCGTCTCTTTTGTTCCATTATTAAATTTTAAATCAATTGAATGGTACGCGCTTGACGGCTGCAGCACAGTATGGGTTTATTATTTTTATTTTTTTCTTAACGTCGAGCCGGACTCGAGAGTATTGTCGTCGTCGTCGTAGTGTATACTATACTATATTATAGCCTGTACCTGTTTATTATATGATATAAATTACATTATGCGCAGCCTGCGGGGTCGCTTGTAACGGCGCTCGCACACGGTCGATTGACCGATAGGAAATTTCGAAACAATGACTGTTCTAATCGAATTCTTGTTTATTTTTCTTACTTTCTTGTTCACAGAGCCCAGCAGTTTCATATGTTGCACGTGCAAAGCGAGATTCAATTCGTCATGGAGGCTTTTGCAGCACGCTCAGACCTCACACTCGATGAAGATCTACTCGGACGGCACACCATCGCCAGTGTCGCAGTCAAAAAACAACTCATCATGTTCTTCGTTAGGATCGTCTGGGTGCTCGAGTGGAAACACTTCATCGTTGCCTGGCATGTCGGCACTGCCACTGGCCCTGGGCATGCCTCCTTCACGGATGAACATTCTCAACCATCCACCACCACCGCCGCCGCCGCCCACGAGTACAGGGCCGCCGTCGATGGTTGACAACAACCCTATGTCCATACCTATGCATAACCCTTTTGCTGTTGGAGGCTTGCTTAGGATGCCGATGGGCGAGCCTCCTCAGCGTCCGTCCCCATTCCCCGGGACGTCTCCCATCGGCAATCCACAGTTGTTCGGGCGGACGTCCACCCATCACCAAGACCATCAGTTCCGCATGGAGCAGCTAATGTCCGAACAGTTTAGGCTCAACCAGCAGCAGCATGGGCTGGGTTTCGCCGTGGCGGTGGCCGCGGCAAACGCCATGCCCAMATCACCGTTCCCGGGGCTTGCTGCTGCTGCCGCAGCCAACGACCGGAACAATCCTAGACACCCAGCGCCAACGTTACCGGCCCTAAATCTCGATCCGCAGATGGATTTTTACTCGCAGCGATTGCGGCAACTCGCAGGTACCACTAGTCCTGGAGCTGCTACTGCACCAAGTTCGTCGCCTTCGCCGCGAAAAATGACGCCACCTTTTAGCAGCCCCAACAACAATAACAACCACATCAACAACAGTGTGTCGGCAACGGCAGCCGTGACCACGACTCCGCTGACAAACACTACCACCGCAGCAGCGGTTACTGTCGGCTTAAACAACAACAAMAACAATAACAATAACGTGAGCAACAATAATTCGGTCGAGTCACTATCTGAACAAGACCGGATCATCGGCGATACGTCCAGACACACGCTTGACCTGTCGTCAAACGCATCTAAGGACAAGGCCTGCCTAGACGTAATAAGTCAACCACAGCAGATCGGCGAGGAGGAGAAGACCCGCGAGTGTGAGTACTGTGGAAAGAAGTTCCGGTTCCTGAGCAATTTAATTGTGCACAGGCGTACGCACACCGGAGAAAAGCCGTACAAGTGTTCGGTGTGTGACCACGCGTGTACACAAAGCTCCAAGCTAAAGAGACACATGAAGACGCACCGCCGGTCGAATCGGGGAAACGGGCTGGCCGGTGGCGAGTGTGGGACGACTGCCAATGGGGTGGATACGAGCTCGACACCGGACATAACATCCAACGATGATGACGAGGATGATTCTGAAATGGACGAAGACGAGGCGGAAATCGAGGAAGAGGATGACGGTGATGAGGATGATGCCGACGAGGACGACGGTGACGATGATGATGAAGAGGAAGAGGAGGAGGAAGAGGAAGACATGGAGCTAGAGGATGAGGATAATGAGGAAAATGATGAAGGTGGCGATGTGCCAGAGGACTTGACCACTAAGTCGACGTCATCAGCTGAACACGACAAAAAGCCAAGTGGCAACGGTTCCACTCGTACATCGCCCGAAAACACACCTGGTGACCGGGTGCCGCAATCACTGCCGCCAAGCTCTCTAGTTGGCGAGCTCATGAGCAAGTTTGGCTTGAGCAACATCCAACAGTATAGCGAAGCGTACAAGCAGGCGCTCAAAGAGTCTTCGGCATTGCTGCCGCCGCAGTTTCGGATCCGTCGGAAGGATAACTTCCGGCTTTCACCATCCATCATACCAGACAACAATAACAGTTCAGCAAAGTCGGCGAACCCGTTGCGAAACCTGGAGAACGGACTCGGCGATAAGGCGGTGGCGGACATCCGGTTCCGTGAGGAGCTTACCAAGAACCTGATCGCAGCCGGCCAGAACCCGCTCGATCTAGTTGGTGCGCACCACATCTTCGGTCCGGGTTCCGCTTTCGAGAACCCTTTCGACCCGGCCTCCAAGAGGCTGAAACTTGACACCGACAACCCACACCACCCGCTACTTGCTAGGGAACGGCTTTACGCGGCTAACATGTGGCTTCCAGCTATTGCCGCGCACCACCGAGGCGAGTCATTCTTGAGCGGACTTCCAGGAAAACCACCGTCAGCCGGAAGCGGTGCCGGGGAACCGGGTAGTGGTGGCGGTAGTGGTGGCCGTTCGAAACCTGGTCCCAGTTCGCTGTCGGCAGCGCTTAACCTGCAGGGACTTCAGGGTGGACACTCCAAGAAAGAGTCGCGGCGCAATGACACGTGCGAATACTGCGGCAAGGTGTTCAAAAACTGCAGCAACCTGACTGTACACCGACGATCACATACGGGCGAAAAACCGTACAAGTGTGAGCTGTGCTCGTACGCATGCGCACAGAGCTCCAAGCTGACCAGGCATATGAAAACGCACGGTCGCCTGGGTAAGGACGTCTATCGGTGCCGATTTTGCGAGATGCCATTCTCGGTGCCGTCCACGCTCGAGAAACACATGCGCAAGTGCGTCGTTAACCAGAACATCAAGCTAGAAGGCAGCCAGTACATCAAGATGGATGACGGTTCCAAGACCGAATCTGGCGGTGGTTATATTCTGCCGCCGTCTTCTATGGCAGACGACGAGTCATACAGCAGTTCAGTCGTTTCGAAAGACAACACATGACTCTTCCCCTGGAGGGGTTTCAGTCCCCTCCCCGTACAGAGTACGACTATATACTGATATGGCGGAGTTTATATAAATGAATCGAAGAATCGACAAAAAAAAATATAATGTAAATGGCACATATTAAATCTCTTACACGACACATAGGTATGATATGTAAGTGTGTTATGAAATTTATATATATATATATATAGATAATTTACAAAATACAAATAGATCTCGAATAACATATTATTATATACCTATAATGATAATATTTTGTTTTAAACGTGCAGTTTTATGTTTTTCTTTAGTTACCGTTTCACTATAAATATTTCTTGAAAAAAATCTTTACTTTTATTATAAACCTATACACATAAAGTACGTTCTATCGTGTGCCGCTGAAATCCATCTATGTCTGGTGTAAATACGGCTTGTTTTAATTTAATTTATTATATATATATATAATATATATTTTTTAACCTTCCCTTATCTGTTCGTATAAGACTATATATTTTATACCCACGATTAAACGGCATAATATCGATTCGCTCAAAACATTATTATAAATAACGTACCATTCCACATGATGCCTACCTATACTATATACATACCGTATACATAATGACTGTTTTCTGACCGATTTTTCGTTCATTGTACAGTTAATAACTTTTTTTTCCTTTTTGAACTGAATTTTTTTCACGGTGATTCTGTTTCATTCCTACATTCCCGAGAGATCATCATGAGTTCCACACCCAAGACTGCATTTTTATAGAATTTGCATAATCATTGTTAAAGTTTTCCAACCGTTTTATACGTATACATATGTTTATACCGAGTGGATGTGTGATTATATTGTGATTGGAAAACAATTGTGGTAATAATAATTTTATTAACACTATACAATTTTAATCTCGATAGACATTCCCGGAAAAATTGTAATATAAATAACATGTCGAACACAGTAATATTGTGCATAATATTAAATATTATAAAACAATATAAATCCCATTTTTCCATTTTTCCATCGTGTAAATAACTTTTCATAAAAATAAGTACAAAATGTTTATAAGTCTAGAATTTTGTCGTGTAGTTTTTTTTATTGTTAACAATCGTTTGTTTTTCTCTTTTAGAAATAAAAACAAAAAAAAAAATGTTGTAAATTCGGTTTATGTTTGACTAGTCTGTTATTTATTATTTTACATTTACAATTATTTTTATTATTATTATTATTATTATTATGATTATTATTATTATTACTATTATTATTATTATTATTATTATTATTATTATTATTATTATCATGATTATATTACGATTATTATTTATTTAGATTTAAAAGCATCTCCAAACCCCAAGAAGTTTAAACTCACCCATAAAATGTTTGAAATAAAAAATAAGAAAAAATAAATAAAAAATTATAACATATACCTATGGTTTAATTAAAATTGCGTTTACGCTCACTAATGTTCCTCATTATTTTATTGTAGAGTTCTTATACGGATTAGAGTTTAATAAAAAATAACGGTGTATTTAAGTTTTCCTATGTAATTTAGGAAATACCTTACGTAAATAAATTGTAAGTTTAATATTTTATTGACTGTACGTTTGGTTTTAAATATATATATATATATATATATACATTATCATCACTGTACCTAAAAATAAATAAGTAAAAAAATAAATAATCGTCTATCTTTTTATTATTAATTATTTTTGTCATTATTGTTTTCTATATAATATATTGTTGAAGTGTCGAGTTTATAGATTAGGTTTATAGTGAAACTTCACGATTCCTATACCGTTTTCGGTTTCGGCGTCCGACGACTTTTTCCTTCGGACTTTTGATGGTCACTCGACATAATGATATAATGATTATAATATTATAAATTATAATTATTATAATTATCGTCAATATTAAATGTCCAGTTCGTTTTTTTTTCGTTTGTTGAGTAATCACCAAAATGTTGTTTTCCGTCGTCGGAAATCGAAATGCAGACATCGGACGTAATATAATATTCTATTTCTATATATATACGTGCTATATACCGTACATTTATCACACTCACAAAAAAAATGTATACACTCAAACACTTGAACGATGTATTTATTTTCTATAGTATATATATATATAGGTAGGTACCTATATATATATATATAGGTAGGTACCTATTATAGACTAATATAATAATGTATAATATCTGTGTTATATTTGTATTAATACAGATYACATCGTCGCCGACGTTGCGTGTTCTTTAAGTTATTATATTATTTATTTTGTTTTTTAAATCAAAACATGCATAAAAATGTCTCTGGACATTATATGATATGTAATTCCCTTCTATGGTTTATACAAGTCATAAGTATGAATGTTGTATACTGGAAACAATTTTTTTCGTTTATTGTTTTTTTTTATCTTTCCGTATATATTATTATATCGTTGTATATGTACATAATACCTACTATATATTAAAATATTATTAATTTTACGTCGAACCAAATATTATTTTTCTTTTTTTTTTCGTTTAAGTGATTACATATTATATATATATATATATAATATACTATAAATGATTTGTTTAGAATATTGTAATTGGTTTAATAAAATATATTATAAAACATGATAAAAAATATATAAACATTATACATATTATTATATATTCTTTTTTTTTGTAAGGAGAACCCGCGGCAACATAGCTAGGCCATCGGGTGTGGGGTGGTACGGTAGGGGTGATTTTTGTATATTTGTTTTTACGTGTTTGTATATGTGTGGCAAGGATATGTTGCTAAAAATCCCGGGTGGTCACCCATCCGGGAGCTAGCAACTGCGGCCGGTACGTACGCTCAGTGCGTTTTCGCAGATTGAGCGTACGACCGCGCCTCACCATGCCACAATATTACATTTTATATTATAATATATACCTGCTATACCTGTATTGATAATCATGCACTCTTGCAGTCTTGTGTGCTCTCACATCGCTAATATATTTAATTTGGCGGAAATAAATTATTCGTGACCGCGGGAGTGATATATTTATAATATCTAAGCGAGTGTATGACGTGTATGGTCCGTAACGTACAACAGGGAAATTAATATGAYTTCTACCCAGTACCCAGTAATTAATTCTAGAMTTAAACGTCTTACACTCCTCGCCGTGAACATTAACATTATTATGTATTGTTGTGGTTTTATGCGCAGATGCTCCGCTACGTGTTTGTACACGTTATAGAGAATCTGATGGCTGATAAYATGCATAGGTGTTCAAACTACAATTTTAACCACAAAATATGTTGTCCGAAGCGACGAACACATTAATCGCACGTCGATTGTCGATAATGACTACTACAGAATTTTCGTTTTATTGTTTTAACATAATATTATTATGGTTAAAATTTAAAATGTCGACTGCAGACTTTTGGTTCGATGTGACGCTCTCGGAAGTTAAAACAAATCCGAATTTTAACCGGTTTTATTGTCTTAATAATAATATATTATCAATGTGATACACGATCATTTTAAAAGAACGCATTTTCAACCTAGCTGACACGAGTGGTATTAATTTGGCGATTCGAGATTTGTTGCCAAAGATAAATAGTTAAATATTCAACGCTGGATGTTACAATACTATTAACGTACCGTTCGAGTATTACATATAATCAAAATGTATTTTACCACACTTCCCAAAAATTTTCAGCGCTCTATTGTGACATATAATATAATCTAGACATATAATAATCGCTTCCAAGTTATATATTGCTGTTAACGCCGTTATAGTGACTACGGTCTACGACAATACTGAAACAGTTGTTTGCAAAATTTAAAAAAAACGATAAACCTCCGAGAAAATGGTTAACGGTGATAATAGGTATCATGCAGAGCGTGTCTTATCACGTCATTGTATTATAGTGAAATCAGGTAAGTACCTATTTAAACCGTACACACTATCAATACTTGGATACTTCATTATACTTAGTATAAATAAGTATGATAATCTATTCATGACTCAAATGCGGTCCACGTATATAGTGTTATAAGACATGTTTCAAAAACGTCTGTATTACCTCGTAATAACTATACCGGTTTTGTAATTTTATTTCCCCATTGCTTTTTTACACATATGTGTATATTTATTTTTCGATGTTTTCACAGTTATTTTAACAACAATGATCGTCAATGTTGTACGCATTATTKAACGTCGATTTTGATCTGTCTTTTAGTTGAATTGACATCAACGTCGTAGTTAAATTCGTATGTAAAATATACCACGAATTTGAGCAATTATTAACCATTTTTGTTCATTTAACATTAAGACATATTGCAATAGCCGTGTAAAAGCTGAGTTAATTTATAATCCTCGAGCGTTGTTTTAGTTAAAATAATTTTTGTAGTTACCATCATCCTAAACTTGTCTAATAGCGAGTTAACTATTATTTAGTGTTGATTTAACCTCTGAATTCTCTGCGAATTTACTATATCTGCGAGGACCTATCCTACACATTATCAATGTGATTAATTATGACCATGCTTATAGTTATATATTTTTTATATCTATGTAATAAACAAACACTGCTGCAAGTTTAATTAGAATAACATTTATTTAAATTCAATATTTTTTTTACAAATTTACAACAATAAGTATGTTAATATAATTTCATCAATAAATATTAATTATAAAAATGAAATTTACAACGCATATTTTAAAGTAGTATACATTTTACCATTCTCTAGAGATATAATTATTAAAAGTTGGATTTAAATGCCCTAAAAACTATCGAAAAATGTTCTTTTATTCAATCTGTTTTAAAAATATGAACTATAAGAACAATTGAGGAGCTAAATAAATAATACATATACAATAAATAAAAAAAACAAACAAATAGATAAWGATGACAGATTAAACAAAGTGTAGAAGCCTCCCCGAGGAGGTACTACGATAAAAAAAAAAAAAACATGAGTATTAAAATTTAATATTAGTTTGTCAGTAGGTTTCTATAGACGATTTGCGATTGAGGGAGTGTAATATGACTGGAAACGTAATATTATGGTGCTTTAGTGATTTGTCTTAGAGTTTTGGATTGATAGGTTTGTATACTATTAATGATAGTAGGTTTCGCTAATCCCCAAAGCTATATACCATAGACTCATATTGGTTTGAGTAGCATTTTGTATATAATGAGCTTGTTATTTAGAGGTCACTAGGTGTCGCATAAAAAATGAACCATATTTATAAACCCAATTAAAATTATTATTTCAGCTCAATAATGCTCTTAAAAATTAATCTCATTTTTTTTACGGGCAGACATTGAGAGGAAAACGATTATTTGACCTTCAAAAATTTCAAAATATTTTATCTTAATTGAACTAACAATAATACAAAAACAAAATACCAAATTTAGACACGTACAATAAATTGACAACAAAGTAGGTACCCAACTTACTCGAAATAAACGCGATCAACATGCAATTCAAACCCACAAATTGTTATTTGTTTTGAGTATAAGACAACACTTTYGATAATCGCTGTAGGTAGATAAATAGGTTATCGCTTTCATAATTAACCAATATTGACATTTGGTACGGATAAAAAATACCCAAGGTATTATTATTAAAGAAAATATAACGAGAACAATATTTCTCGGTTTATTATTTTTAATTTCCTAATTTAAACTTAAAGTTCGTACAATGTTTGTTTTAATGATAATATTATTATGCACTACAGATTAATAAAAGAGATCTGAAGACGCTGAAAATGCTTTAAAAATGGAAAAAGAGTGAAAAATGTAACATAACAGTTTCACCTTTCATAGTTATTACAGGAATCAAATGAAGTACACGGAATGTGTAGTTCTAAAGACCCCCCCTCAAAAAAAAAATACGTATACTTCACAAAGAAATGTCAATTTGAACTAATTTAAGTACCTATTATTGCAAGTTGGTCCATTATTAAT